GAAAGAACAAAGCGTAAGAAACTCAGCTTGATTTGGGATGTAATTTAAGTGAATTACCTTTCAATTTTAAGAGGACTGGCGTGTAGATAAATTCATGTGGAAGTCAAATGGAGGCAAAAAGATTGCAGATATTGATAAGAAAGAAGTATTTGAAACGCATTATTTTGTCTCCGAAAATCATGAAAATAAACAACAACCAATTGAAGAAAAATTTCAAAAAAGAGCATATGTGCTGAAGAAGAAACGAGAAGAAACGAGAAGAAGATCCCGATCCATGTCAAGTCATGCAAGTTGTGGTGCATTATATTGGTATGTGAATTTTGATTCCTTAAAACTTTTATCTTCATCCATTTTTTTCCGTAGGAGATATTGAAAAAGCTGTGTTGTCAAAAAACTAAGAACACCAAAATCCGTAATTCACACCATTGATGAACGAGTAAGAGTTGAAGAGCCAAGTCGAGTTTATCGGCAACTGGTTTCAAGTACAGAAGGTGTAACAACAGTAAACAATAGTCGTCAAGTTGAAAATAGAAGAGCTCGTCACCTAGCTCAATTTAAATTATCACAAGATGAAATATATTCAACATATAAAATTGCATTAGATAATAAATCTTTTGTGAAACAATTTATTCTCACACCCAACCTAATTATTATTTGTGGCCATGATAAAGGAATGGAAATGTTCAAACAATTGTTAAAAATTATAAAAACAAAAATTATGCTGTCATACGATACAACCTTTCAATTAACAGATGCATATGTCAGATACACTGTAATTTGGAATTAATTTCCAGTTTATAGAAAATCGACCTGAAAAATCGTGGAGCTTTTCCTGTTATTCAGAAAAACGGCATAGAATTTCCAAAAATATGAAAGTTCGGCGTCCATTTTCTATATACAGAAAATTCGAGTTTTATTTTCTAATATTCTAGAAAATACATCCATTTCCGATAAATAATTCCCAAGATTCTGGAAATTCGAAATCATTTTCGAAATGCAATGAGTCATTTTGTCCACCTTAACTTTGACAGCCGCATATATCGGAAGTTTTTAATATCAGTTATCAGAGTAATACGAAGACGACTCTTCAAACAGCCAATGGTGCTGTATTTAGATCAAGAGATTTTATTTTGTCACTTGGTTCTCAACGTTTTCTAGAATCAGTAAGTTTAGAGAAGTTAAAATATCTGTTAAGTGAGTACGAGATAAGGTCACAGTAGAATCTACAATGTAAAGGAGAAAATTGCTTATAGCAAATGCTCGCCGAATTTCAACGAATCCATATATAAATTCCTCGAGCATTTTCTAGTTTATAGAAAATCGTATTTATGGAAATTCAAGACGAATTTCTAGTAAGTAGAAATTCAACGATTTGTATAAAGTGGGAGAATCGGTAATGAATTTATGTAAACGAGAAATTCTTCAGCGATTTTCCAGTTGATTTTCCATAAACTAGAAATTAACTCAAGATTACAGTGTAAATAATAATCACCAAATAAACAGACACTGTTTGATCTTATCGTCTTTGTACCAATCAAAACAAAAAACGCAAAATGGTTTAAATTTCTTAAAATGGCATGTCCATTGCTTTCCCGATTAAAATAAGTGGCGATGATGGGCTTTTGGAAAAGTATGAACTATAGCTTTATAAAAAAAGTGCCAGTACCAGCTTTACGCTCTATGCTCAGGCCTTGAAACAGAGAGCTGTATCGTAAAAGCTAGTTAATTTCTTTTGAGAGTACATTATTTCTCCATGAAGAGAAAAGAGCTATAATGCAGTC